CGTAACAAAAACTCAGTGAAGAAGAAGCATTCTTGTGTCAAGAGAATTTTTTTGCTCGGTGTAAGCATCCTGAGGTTTTCTTTGAATCTTTTGTTCCTTACTCTGTTTGCTGTTTTTGCTTGCACTCACCACTATCTTGGGTATAGTAGAATTACAACAGGATTTTTTTGCGTAATTTTTTACTTTGATATGTTTCTAGAAGCAGTTATTAGGGTTTGGATGCATCGAATTCGTGTTCTTTGACATGCTTAAATTGTTTTATAATTGTCATTTTCTTGTAAAGGTCTACCCTGATTTCTATCTGTCACTCTCAAGACCTTCCTTATATACGTGGTGTGACTTCTATGAGCCAATCAGACGAGTTTCTGTTTGAAAATTCAGTTTGAATTGTACAACAAAGCTGAGTTTCTTGTTTGCTAGCAATACAGATAGTTCCATCTTAAGTTGTCAGATGTTGTATACTTATGACATTAATTGAGTTATCTCCCTCCGATTGTATCATGTTGTTTATCTGGTCATAACAGCGAGTTACAAGGCCAAGAGGAGGAATCAATGAATGGCTACACTGGCTTCCTGTTTCCGTCCACAAAAAAATTTATTACATTATTAGCCAGATATATAGTTATTCCCGATTTCTGATAGCTAGAAGAGGAAAGAGTCTGGTGCATTTTCCTGTGGAGAATGGTCATTCTGCAGGCCTGTCATCTGTATTGGAAGCTGATCTTAGAAATATTGTAAGGATGGCTAAAGAAACTTCTGAGAAGTAAGTCTTCTCTCTTAACTCTGTTACACTCTAAATTTCTGGACAGAATTGACTAGTAAGGCATCTCTTATGTAGAACTATCCTTTTTATATGATAGGGGTAGGAACATTGTGCTGTCACTACTTCCAAAACGATGAATGAACTAGTTAACTGTTGATAATAGTGGTTTGCCTCCTGTACACTCTTGAGTACAACATGAACATGTTTGCAATCAGACTCTTCATAAATTTGCAAAAATAATATGAGGACCCAAGATTTGAATTATCAAAATAAACGACTGACTAAAGTTTACATGCATATGATCTGTATCAATCTTCAATGTTTTCAAAAAATTTCTGAACATGAGCAAAATACCTACCTCAATTGTAGAATTTTCCCTTCAGTATTTGTGAAACATGGATGTTACAACACTACTATAAAGAATTATGAAAGGAAATAGTTTACTTTTGATGATGGTAGTTCACCTCCTGTACATCGATAGTACATGACAATGGTGCAAGTTTGCAATTAAATTCTTCCTAGTTGTGCAAACATAATATCAATCCAATATTTATCGTGATAAATACAGTTGAAGGTCAGTATCAAGAATATCCTTCATTTTTTTAATCAAAATTGTCTAGACATTACAAAGAAGTTATGTCATGTTGCTTCATAACCCTTCTGGCTTCCACTATATCAAGATTTGTGATTTATGAATCTTATTTTTTCCTCCTGAATATAGTCAGTAAAATATTTTAACAGGTGAGCACTTTGTCACATTGCGACATTCGAAATTTAAAGAAAAATCTGGGTATATTGCAGTATGAACATATTTAAGTAATTACAACTTAAAAATGAGTTTGATAGAAATTTCCAAAGATTCAAACATTTCAAAAGTACATGGGCTATGTCTATGTTTATAAAACTATCAAGAATGCAAAGACCTATTTCAGGCCATCTCTGAAAAAACTTATTCATTCCTTTTTGTTTCAAGGTTTACCAGACCTCGTCAACAATTGCAATCAAAATATATCTGGTTACCAAAAAGGATCTGAATGTGTATATGTTTATGTTGGCAAATAAATTTGTGCTTCAGTCTAATAATAGGTGGTGATATATTTACATGGAAGTAAATTTGTATGTGTCATGTCTTGCTCTGATCTATAAAAATGGACATTTTAACCACTGTTCAGGGATGGTCCATTACTGGTGGTTGCATCTGGAAGAGATACTATTTCAATTGCAAGCTCTATAAAAAGATTAGCATCTGAAAATGTATTCGTCGTACAGGTTAATTACTCAACCCAATATATGCAAGTCATGCATATTATTTGATCTCATTACGCAGTGGAACATAAATCTGGTTGTTAATGGAAGCAATAAGATGATTGCAAGAGGAAGCTCTGGTGATGTACCATTAGTATTTTAACATCAGCAAGAACTTTATTCTACATTTTTCTTTATAACTAAAAGGTCTTATGAGAGTGATGAGGCAGCCTGACAAAGTATTTCTGTCATTCTTGATATCTTCCCCCTCTCATCCAGCCATTTGGATTTGTCGCCATGACACACTGAATACTTTAGTTTAGACATTCAATACATTAGGCAAATTCTGATAAGAACATTTTTTGTTAGTAGTCATGAATTCCCGCTCTCCTCTGTTCTCTTTGGTTTCAACTTTCATGTTGGGTGATTCGTTTTGGTTACAGTGTTTCATTTGCCTACCGACTGCCAAGATCCTTAAAATGCCTACTTCTTAACTACTTATAGCATTATATGCAAGGAAAGGACAGTTCAAATAGAATGTAACTGCAGAAGTTTTGAAGACAAAGAAGGTACCACTTGGCAATCTTTGGAAGAGACCAAGTTTTTGCATTTTTACTTGACCTCTACATATAAGGAGTTTTAGGATGATCTTTTATCTTTCGGTGTTTTTGACTGGAAGATTTGATGTATTCTTGATTTTATTTCTAAACTTGTTTTCCCCTTTCGATTGATATACCTTTATATCATTGAGTGTCATATGCTGGGTCTGGGCTTGACCTTTTGTAGGGACAAGGGATTTTTGACAATTTAACAGTTTTTTTTTTTTTTCCAGATTCAGCATCCAAGGTCCCATTTGGATAGGTTTGATATGGTGATTGCCCCAAAGCATGATTACTACCCTTTGACACCTCATGCACAGGAGCAGGTTCCTCGGTTTCTCAGGAGATACATAACACCTCGTGAACCTCCTGATGAACATGTTGTATGTATCCATATGATATATTTTCACATCAAATCAGCTTTCACTACCGAGCTTCTGTTCACTAAATTCTTAATCTATATATCTTCATATCCTCAGGTTCTCACTGTAGGAGCTCTTCATCAAGTAGATTCTGCTTCCCTTCGTAGTGCAGCTAATGCATGGCATGATGAGTTTGCACCCTTACCAAAACCATTACTTGTAGTCAACATCGGAGGGCCTACAAGTAACCATTCTTTTTCTATCCTGGTGTTGGATTCTTGTCATTTTCCTTTACTGTTGTTCTGTCTGTGTAGTGTAAGTGTTCTCTACTCTTCACTGGCATATGTTTTGTGCTCTAGTTTAAATTGAGCTAATATTCTGGTTGGATCAGAAATATCTCGAACTGGAAAGTGGTTAACAAGGCTTTTAATGGTGTAATAATTACTGATTTGTCACTTAAGAGTGGAAATCTATATTACCCTGATTATTTATTTGATGTTTAGGATTAATGGCAACCTTGCACTTTCATAATATCCAAAGCGTCTGCAATCTTTCACATCCCCCCCCCCCCAACCCCACATGACTTATTTCTCTTAGAATTTAAGGAACGATACATTTGTTTATTTTGTTTGTGACATCCGGCACAAAATGGACTTCATTATACTCAATAAATGATAGATATTTCAACTTCAGTTATAACGTAATTCCATTGAACAGATTCCATTTGACCAATCTAAATTGTGTTCCTTCTGATTTTTGGCTGGATTCACCACCATTGGCCTGTGGGTTGTGATTAAGCCGTCACATATGGCTTTTGGCTATCTGCATGCCTTCTTGAACAAAGAGCATAGGATGTTGAAACCCTGCCATTTTACCTTCAGTTCATGAAGTTCTGAAATCATTGTGCTTGTTTGTGATTTTTAACTTCCACTCTCTTTTTTCAAATTTATTCCTTAACTATTTCAGTTTCTAAACGTCTTTCCAATTGAGAACTAGTTGCCTCAACACTGCATATTGTTATATTCCTATAATTTTATAGGGTACTGCAAATATAGCATGGACCTTGCGAAGCAATTGACAACCTCACTCCATAATGTACTCGCAAGCTGTGGAAGCGTGAGGATATCTTTCTCAAGAAGGACACCTGAAAAGGTGTGAGAATAAGTTGCAGAGTTCTTCAAATTTATTATTCTAACTATAATTTCACCATCCCTTTCCTTTTTCAATATAGTATTTTTCTCTATTGCACGGACACTTCAATTAGGGTGGCGTGTTTGTGTCCGGCATGTGTCGGATACCAACATTCTTCGAACACTTTATCATGGTCATTTTTCTTTTTTCTCATAAATATTATATATATATNTATATATATATGTATAACTCAATTATTAGTAAATAACAAATATATATTCATATTTAAAAGATTTCAACAAGATGTTATTATTGAGTATAAAATTAAATTTATACTATATGAATGAAGAATTTTAAAAAATTTAATCAATAAGTCGATGACGTGTTGTGTCAGTACTTTTTTGAAAAATCGAGTGTCGGGGTGTCCGAATCGGCATGTTAGAGGTACTATTTTATGTTTATTAGGTTTTTAATTGACAGGTCTCCAACATTATAGTGAAAGAACTTGGAACTCATCCGAAAATATACATATGGGATGGTGAAGGTAATTTCAGTTATAGTTCCTTGATTTGACAGATGATTTATGAATGAATTGGGAGAATCAACTAATGAGGATGATGTACTGTTGTTATCAGAACCTAATCCACACATGGGACATCTGGCTTGGGCTGATGCTTTTATAGTTACTGCAGATTCAGTTAGCATGTTGAGTGAAGTTTGCAGCACTGGGTATGCTCGAGTACAATACCTTAATGGCCATTGATGAATTTTCCTTCATATAAAATAGGCATGCCAAATATACGATCAACTCTTTGGTTATCACAGGAAACCTGTTTATGTGATTGGAGCTGAACGCTGTTCATGGAAGTTCGTGGAGTTCCATAAGAAGCTGAGAGAAAGAGGCCTGGTTCGACCATTTACAGGTCTTGAGGATGTAAGTGATCATTATACTCTTCCCATGATTCGATATTCTGGAGTGATTGATTTCTACTGATTATGAAAAACCTTCTCCACAAATAAGACTTTTGAGTACCAGGAAGGGCGGAATGGATCATTAGAGGGTGGAAATTTCCTCCAATCGGAATAGCTCAGCCCAATTTTTTTGATGTCATAGGGGAGGGATTGACTTTTCTAACGTATATTCAGTCTTACCGTCATTAGTGATTGATTTCTACTGATTATGAAATTTGGAGCAACCTGCTTTTTCAAAATTAAGTTGTCTTAAAAAACTCGTTTGTGCTATTAAAGCCTTGAGAAATGTTTTGATATATGTAACAGGATATATTTTTAAGTTGGTTTCCTTGATTTCCATATTGAGGAAAAAATTGTTATGTTATCCGTTGCTTAATGCCTCCTATATCTGAAAAAGAAAAATCCAAAAATGAGGTTTCCTTTGTATTTGAGGATCAAAAATTGAAAAATATAGTTAATAATAAGTCCTGTGATCTTCCCCAGCTTTTGTTTAAATTGTAGGTTGAAGATATGCATGGTCCTTAGATATAATGGTATAGTAACAACAAATATGGTGATAAGAAAGGTGAAGATTAGCTTTGTCTGTCCAACAAGTGAAATAAACGTAAAGGGGAAAGAAAAAAATAAGAAGGGAATCAATTGAATTTAAACTTTCTTCTGATTCTGAGAAGGCAATATTCAAAGTTGTCTTACACTTCTACTTGTGGAAATGATCTGCATAGCTCTATAAATTTTTCTCCTTGGGTTTTTAATCCCATAACTTGTGCATATTGATGCCAAATTTTCTGCTTGCCATCCTTTTTCACACGCACATTGATGATATTTAAGTCCACATATGTTGCAATACTTGGCGTGTAACATATGATATTTCCTTGTAACCAACCTATTATTTTCAAATCGATTATATTAAAAAACTATTTTGTTGGTGGGCTACTAATTGGTATCTAAAATAACATCATAACTTGGGGAAGGAATTACTGATAGGGTCCAAAATATCATCATAACTAGAGGCGGATCAAATGTCGGATATTATGTTATTCACTTCGTTTGATGTTACTAATTAAAATATTTGTAGTTTTGTTTGATCTTCCTCTTCATCAGAAGGAATGGTTTTAGAAGGTGAATGTGTGTTGGAGTGATATGGCCTCATGTAGATAGTAATTAAATGATCAACAAGGGAATAATAGGATTTGTGTTTTGCGGCCTTTGCCTATTGGGCATTAATCTGCTTCGAGTACAGGATTTTATTCTATCCATTATTCATGCAATTGAGTTTTTCTCTTGATTTCAGATGTCAGAAAGCTGGAGTTATCCCCCCTTGAATGACACTGCAGAGGCAGCAAGCCGAGTGCATAAAGCAATTGCTGAGCGTGGATGGAGATTACGGCCATAGGGACCTGTTATTTCATACTGTTCTCATCACCTTATCCTTATCATGAGCGAATCAGCAATTTTATTTGGTCCGTGTATTCCTAGTTTTATATACATATATAGACATTTTCGATTTTTGGCCCTCCCTGGGATTGCATAGGTGTAAAATAATAATTGGCTTCATTAATGCGGCCTGTAAAGTATAAACAGTTGAGTGGTTCCTTGAAAAAAACTATACTCTTTTGTGAGATAAAATTTTGTTCGAGTGTTTTTCCTGGAATTGACTTGATGATGTGAAATGTAATCTTTCATTGGACTGGAATGGCTATTGCATTACAGAATGAAGTTGTCTCTCTAAAAATGCGGAAACGGTGTATTTCTACAGAACTCTTTATTTCATACATTCGTGTTTGAATTAAGAACCATTAACAATTATTTTCATTACCTGACTTTGCAATTATAGTAATTTGATGAATATCTTGTATTGTAATGTTGAGAATAACGAATGGCCTGTGTGACTCGACTCCAACACAATGGCTTGGATAGAGCTAGCCTTTTTTATGTACTTGTCTGTATTGTTGTATGGATTTATTTGCCTGTGAATGTAATGACTTTGATATAGTTAGCCTTTTCAGGTATTTATGTATTTTCAAGTTGTATGGATCTGTTCGACGGTTATTGCTGCTATTAACGTAGTAATGGTTATGTTTTAAACGAATAATCTGTACTAGAGAAATTAATAATCCGAGAAAGGTAAAAAGAAAGCAATGTAAAACATACAATTTAAGGTGGTTTACTTTCAATAATGGAAGAGCTACATCTCTGTTCCTCCAAGTAAAATAACTCAATATTGTCTTATGGTCAAGTCTATTCTTTATAAAGATGGAGCAAGTTAGCAACAACTCCACCCCCAACCCACCCCACTCTACCATACTAGAAAACTAATCCATTAAATCCCAACTCATCCTTGCCTATATATTTCTTTACCCAACCAGTCCTACTCAAATCATAATTCAAAACAATAAGTTGTATTTACTATCTTCTTTGAAAAGTTCCAATGGATTCAACGAAGAGCACTGATGAAGCAGCAATCAACATTGCAGAGTCGAAATCTGCCGAAGGAAAGGCTCTTGCAACTCAAGATGTCATCACAAAGGCTACTCCAAACCCAAGTGGAAGGGCGAAAAGAGGCATTGCCATCTTTGACTTTGTTCTTAGAATTTGCGCTCTCGTGGCTGCTTTAGCTGCTACAAGCACGATGGGAACTACCGATCAAACTCTCCCTTTCTTCACGCAGTTCTTTCAGTTCCAAGCAAGCTATGATGACCTTCCAACGTTCACGTAATTACTCTTGATGTACACTTAATTTGTGCGTGTACAAGTACACTGATAAACATGTTATGCTACTGCATGTGCAGGTACTTTGTAGTTGCAAATGCTATTGTCAGTGGCTACCTTGTTCTTTCATTGCCTTTCTCCATTGTTTGCATCGTTCGTCCACGTGCAGCAGGAGCAAGACTTCTACTACTCATCTTTGACATCGTAAGAATAAGAGTACATTGGATGTTCAGTACTGGACAAGTCGAGCTTACCGAATATGCCTATGCGCTCCATATTTTTAGTACCCTAATATCCATTTTATCAGTTTTTGAAATGAAACTATATTTTTATACAGGTGTTTGTCGCTTTTACCATAGCTGCAGCAGCATCTTCAGCTGCCATTGTATACTTAGCTCATAATGGGAATTCCAACACCAATTGGCTAGCAATTTGCCAACAATTCGGCGACTTTTGCCAGCAAGTTAGTGGTGCAGTGGTGGCTTCTTTCGTTGCATCAGTCGTTTTAATATTCCTCGTTCTGCTTTCTGCTGTGGCCCTTCGTAGGCACTAATGAAAAAAATAGCATGTTTAGTTGTGTTTTAAAGTTA